TATATATTTTATATATATCCCTGTGGTGCAAGGGTTAAGTACTTGGAAGCTAAGCAAAATGTTGGCAGTTTAAACTCTCCAATGATTCAGTGTGAGAAAGATATAGCAGTCCACTCCTATAAAGATTTATAGACTTGGAAACCTCATGGAGCAATTCTATTCTGTCCTGTAGGGTCACCATGATTCAGAATTGACTTGACAGCAGTGGCTTAATAGTATTTTATGCCTCAGCAGAACTGGTTACTCAATAAAGAAGGTGCCCAAATATGAAACAGCACTGAAAATACATAAGCTGGATCCCTATCCTTGAATAGACCTTATTAGATTTCATCTATAACCATTTCTCCTTCTGACGCCAGATAACAATAGAGACAAACCACATGATTTTCTCACCTTTTCTCATGAAGGGGGACACTTTATGGTTCATATATTCTTCTGGAAGTGCTGTGTAATTGGTACTTGGATTATTCTTCATCTCTTCAAATGAAGTATGATGTACAATCTTTTCTACAAGCTCCTCTGATGGCTTCTTTCCCAAGAAATTAATCAATTTTATTATTTCTTTTCTGATATCCTAAGAAGGAAAAAAGTGCTTTGAAGGCAAATGCTAAACTTAAACTGCTAACTTAAATTTAATTTGATAAAATCCATTTGAATGAGAGAAAGAGATAAAAAAAAAACTTTACTTTTTTTCTTCTTCTTTTTATTATTTTTTAATATTAAATTAATACTAAACTTCTAATACCAGAATTAGACTTCCAGTGAGGAAAAACAATAGGGAATGGGTTTGAAGGAGTGGTAATTTTTCATCCTCTCTATGTATAATTTCCATCACCCATAAATTGGATATAAAAGATATTTCAAACATTACTAGAAGAACTAAAGGAAATAATGTTTATAAAGTGCTTATTGCAGTCCTTGGCACAGAGTAAATGCTCAATTGTAATCTATATATATAAACATAATTTCTCAAAGACTAAGTTTTGCAGACACCTTTTTTTTTCCTTTTTATTTATTGATGTAACTGGTCAGAAACAAAGAAACCAGAAAGACTGAGATAAACTGTGAAAAACCAAAATACTGCACATGAAATATCAGTCGTATATACAACATAGTTATAGTTATTCTCATCTCTATGCCCCCGCTACAGTGTTCCCTATTAGCAGTGTACTCCTGCTAGGGTATGCTACAAGTCAACCTAGCCTATGCAACTATTTATAGTACCTACTGTGATGTTTATTCTAGTGTGCAGTTCCCTTTACTTAGAAGTTTTCCACCTTCTCTATCCAGCAAATTACAGCTTGACTTTGAAATTTCTGGTTACATGTCACTTTATTGCTCTTATGAATTCCTATATCAATTTATTTTCCCATAAGTGTAGTCTTACAATTTTTATTAACTTCACTATCTTCCTCACAAGATTTTGCATCATAAAAATAGACGAGCTTTGCTGGTATGATAGAGCCTGGTGAGACCCCTGAGACTGTGGCCCCTCGTTACTTATCAGTTGTGGAACTGCACTCAGTCCTGTGGCTTCCAGCCAAACAATAGACAGGCATATGGGATGAACATTTACATCAGGTACACACACTCCTTGGAGCGGTTAATCACGGGAGAACAGAAGGGGGGCAGTGTTTTTAACCAGGAGAAAGCTCAGGGGACGGGAATGCACGGGAGGAAAGGACACAGGGAAGAGATCACTATGGGGAGATGGTGGGAGGAAAGCTTTTGAACTGTGGGAGATTGTAGTCAATGTCATGAGACAAAGTGTATGTGAACTGCTGTATGGAAGATGAATTTGTTCTGTAAAATTTCACACAAATCGCAAGAAAAATTAAAAAGAAAAATAAGACTGTCTTTACATATAGTGTTAATATGTCTTTCATATCACGTTAATATGTTTTTTTCTAAATACATTCTACAAAGAACAGAAACCATGATTTATTCATTCTTCGGCTCCCTCTTTATTTACATACAGAGAAAACCTAAGTGTGGCCATTATTGACCAAATAGGGAATAAGAAAAAAAGTGAATATGAAAAATATATGGGAGGGGAAGTATCTTTATCTGTTACCAACAGTGTGACATATCTCAGTGATCCATATCCTGACTAATATTTAGTATTGTCAGACTTTTAAATATTGACATATCATCTGGTATTTAATCCATTTCTTGATTTTCTAATATTTGAAATAATTTCTAGGTAATCTACTTGGAATTTTTGTTTTAAATCTGTATTGATAATTTTAGCAGCCTCATGTTCCCATATAAACTTTTTTATTTCTTCTTATATTTCTTTAAACATCTTAAACATAATTATATTCCACCCCTATTTGAAAATTCTAAAATCTCTAGATTCGAAGAGCAGTTGACTCTTCTAGCTCATGATGATCCCTCATATTTGTGGGGTGTGTATGTTGTGCATGTGTGTTTTGTTTTATAAACTCAGAACTGGCTAAAATCACATTATGATTTCATTTTATCTTTGAAAAATGTTTGAGACCTGGGATTAAAATATATACATTCACAAAAGATTTGTATTTAGCAGCTTCGAATTTGTGCTAAAGTATATTAATAATGTGGTCTTTTCATGTATAATGTTGGTGGTGATTGTCATCACTTAAAGGCAAATTATTAATTTAAAATGATCAATTTTCTTGTGCATTTCCAGGTTCTCACCTCTTGCAAGTCTTCATAGAAAAGAAATAACACACGAGGGTTGCTCTTACTCTTTTCCCACCAAGATTTTACATGTTTATACCAGGAACAATAAGGAACTAAAATTAGAGGGAAAAAAAAAATTAAAGAGCATAATGTTATCTCTATGAACCTTGAAAATAATAGTAGCAAGAAATAAATATAAATAAATGATAATGGAAAGATAACTAGTAGTTCAGCCTTATAAGTAGATTTCTCAGCAGCAAGAGAGAATTATCTTGAGTAATTCATGTCCAGAAAAACATTCTCAACTTTTGTTATTATGATATGGCTTGTGACATAGAGAAAAAGGAAGGGAAGTCCACATTTCACTGAGTTGATTCAGAATGTCTTTTGAAACTGCTATGAGTGTGCGTATGAAATCAGGTTGTTAAATGAAAGGAGTTAGGTAGTAGAATTATCAAAGGTCAAGTCATCAGAAGAATTAGTCCTCATCTTAAATTTACCATTTACAAACTAGTTTTACCAACTGCAGATAGTTGTTATACGAGTATTTATTACCATCTTGGAGTTTAAAAACAAAACAAAAAAAAACTGCTATCAAGTTGATTCTGACTCATAGCGACCCCCATTGATTTTCCAAGGGAGTAAATCTTTACAGAAGTAGATTGTGTTGTCTTCCTTCCATGGAGTAGCTGGTGGTTTTGAACCACTAACCTTCTGGTTAGCAGTCAAATGACTTAGGCTCTGCACCATGAGAGCTCCTACCTCCTGGAGTTTAGATGGTAATAATTATTCTCTTATGGACTCATAGTGTAGAAAGTTAGAAAACTTGGAGATGATATGATACTATCAAATGCTATCTCTTCTCTCACTTTCCAATTCTCACCTATATTTATGTTTTACCCAATGAAAAACTAGCAAAATAATATAACAATGTGCAAGTCAAAGTATGTTGGCTTACAATAAGCCATTATAAACCTATTCAGTTTTTACCCTATTACATAATTTTTCTTTCATGAAGACTTTATAATCATAATTATATTGACCTGATTCAACACTTTTACAGAGGTCCAACTTACTTTTTTCTACTCTACAGTGTGGATCATTTGTATTGAGGCTTATTCATGGCTTTTCAGCATAATTTGTTTTCAAAATGTGGCAACAAACACAAAACACATATATTCTACTCCTATTGGTTTAACATTATATTCTGTAGATAAAAATTCATTACTGATTTTTTTTTTTTTTCAATTATTCCTACAGGATTCTTTTCTTTCTTTCTTTCTTTTTTTTTTTTTTTTTAGTGAATACTAGAATCCTTAACTCTTTCATCTTCTAATCTCAGTTGTTGTAGGCTATGGTTGGAGTCCTTGGGTGGTCAAATGGTTAAGTATTTAGCTGCTAACCAAAAAAGTTGGAGTTTTGAGTTCACTCAGAGGATCTTTAGAAGGAAGTCCTGGTGATTTATTTCTGAAATAAATCAGTCATTAAAATTCTAAGGAGTACAATTCTACTCTGAAATACAAGGGGTCAAATACAAGAGTTCGAATTGACTGGACAGGAATGAGTTTGGTTTCAGGGTAAAATTAACTATAAAGGCAAAATTTCCCAGAATGTTGCTTAAATATTTCTTGTACTTGTCTGTGAAATGTGACTGAAATATTCAGACTGCACACTGAATAATAAGAGCAAGGGCTTTGGAAACATTCAGACTTCTTTGTGAATTATGATCTCACTTTACTAAATGAGTAGCCATATACAACTTACTCAAACTCTAAGGACCACTCACTACCTTTTCTTTTGTTAGCCAAATAGTACAGTTAAAGCATTTGGCATCATTCTTGGAAATAAATGGATGCCTTCTCCCTTTTGTTCCCTTCCCCTTTGTTCAATAGAGTTGTAATAATGCAATGTGAAATACTTGTCCAATAAAAAGAAATGAGAGAGAACAGGCCAATGACACTCAATCTTAGAGGAAAAAAAAATGTTGTCTTCAACTCCAAGCATCTTCTACATATTTATTTTTAAGTGTTTGATTACAGTGTCCAGATTCTTTAATTTGTTATTCATATCTGGAAACCCTGTACTTGCTCCACACTTCGAGGCCCTCTACAATGTTTTGACTGTAGATGAGAGAAGATAACATAAGGACAGAGAACAGAAATTTGTCTGAGATGGTATATATCTGAATAAAATTCAATCAAATCAAATTCTGAATCATTCACTTAGATTACAAAGATTATCATGTAAAACCATTGTTCTTACCTTCACCATCCATGAATTTCTCCACAAACTCTAGAAATGAAGCATATTTTGGATGAACGGGTGTCATTAATTGGAAATAATAATAAGAAACAGCCACATCCTTGGGATTCCGGCAAAGGTAGATCATCTAAGAAGATGAAATTTTATATTTGATAGCTTATTTCCACTTTTTTTTCCCAAAAATACCCTCAATAAATGTTTAAAAGAATACTTCATGTTCCCTATGACAAACATATCATATACTCATGGCAGAAAGTGTATAAAATATGTAAAATTTAAAGAAGAGATCTTATTCAGTAACCTGAAGTAACAGCAGGTTTGAATGTTGTCCAATGTTGTTGTTGCTAGGTGCCGTGGAGTCATCTCCGACTCATAGAGATCCTATGCACAGCAGAATGAAACACTGCCTGATCCTGCACCAGCCCATTGTTACAGCTGCTATGTCAATCCATCTAGTTGAGGTCCTTTCCCTTAATTGATCCTCCACTTTACCAAGCATGATGTCCTTCTCCAGGGAATGGTTCTTTCTGACATGACCAAAGTAGGTGAGACGAAGTCTGGCCATTCTCACTTCCAGGAAGCATTCTGGCTGCACTTCCTCTAAGACAGATTTGTTAGTTCTTTGAGCAGACCATGATACTCTTATCTTTCTTCTCCGACACAACTCAAAATGATCAACTCTTCTTCAGTCTTCTTTATTCATTGTCTAGCTCTCACAGGCATGAGAGGCTATTGAAAATACTATGGCTTAGGTTAGGTGCACTTAGTCTTCAAGGAGACATCTCTGCTCTTCATCACTTGAAAGAGGTCCTTTGCAGCAGATTTGTCTTGCCTGTTGCTTCCATTGCTGTTGATTGCAGAACCAAGTAATATGAAATCCTTGACAACATCAATCTTTTCTCCATCCACCATGAAACTGTTTATTGGACCAGTTGTGAGGATTTTTGTTTTCCTTATATTGAGGTGTAATCCATACTGCAGACTGTAGTCTTTAATCTTCATCAGTAAGTGCTTCAAGTCATCCTCACTTTCAGCAAGCAATTCACTTATTTTCACTAACCTCACTTGAATCTCACAAAATTCCCTTGATATACAATGTTAAGTTGTTAGCATATTCTATTCATAAATGAAGAAACTAAACTGAGAGTGAATGAGATTAAATTGGGCAAAGAAAATTACTGTAAGTAAATAATTGATAAATCATTCTGTCAACAGTATGGTCCTTTAGCCTTTAGACTACTATACTTCCATTCCTCATACTAGAGAAAAAAAAAAAGTCTTGCTGTTTCCTCAATTGCAATATTGATGAAAAGATATCTATGAGGGCCCATTTAAATGTTACTGAGTTCAGTGAAAATATAGTCTCAACAGACATATTGTTGAGTTTGCATTTTACATGTAGTGGAAACACCAATGAACCAGGAATCAAGAAGCCTTGGTTTTAGGTGCTAGCCCTGGCATTAAGAACGTCTGTAATCATGTGCATAGTATCCATCATTCTGGACATAAGTTTTCTCTTTACTAAATATGTCAGTTGCATCACATCTCCATGGCTTATTCTAGATGTGATATTCAATGATGGAGGAAAAAAATCTGCCTCAACTCCAGTATTGGTCTGATCTTCTCTGATCTCAAACACCTAAGCAATGCCATCAAGAAGAGTGGCTCCTAACTCTTAACTGTTTACAGAATATGAATAAGGTCACCATCTTGTCTTGCTCAAGCTTATCCATTTTCAAGCAATTTTAAAGAAAATTTCTCATTCATTCTAAAGTATGGCTCTCATTTTTAAGGTCCTTCTGTGGAAATCGCCAATTACTAAAGAATAAACATGAATTTTACGTGATTAGCACAGCTATCAGATATCTTGAACTTTCTAAATATTATTAACAACTCTCTCAAATGTTTTTAACCTAAGATCAGAATGAACTCTTTCATACTAATTTTTATATTCATATAATATTCATATTAATGAATATAATTCAGAACTTTAATCCTTTGCCTTTCTTCATGTTATCTTTCCTTTCTTGGGTGTTCTCTGCATAGGATTACTATCTATATTTTAAAGTCTGGATGCAAGTCCTTCCTGAGGCTTCTCCTGATTTTCCCAGGGCTGGGGGCAGGAAGTGCTCTGCTCTTCCTCTAAACTCCCAGTTATTTGACAAGATCCCATATTACACCCCATTTTAGTTATTTTTGCACACATTTCCCTTCTCTCATTATCAGTGAGGTACAAACTTCCTAATTTGGCTGCTGCAATGGATTAAACGGTATGTCCAAAGAATACGCGCTGAATTTCTATGAATATGATCCTGTTTGGATATAAAATGTTTCTTTTTTTTATGTGAATGAGCTCATATTAGTGTTGAAAGGGTCCTAAATCTAATTACTCCTGAGTTATAAAAAGAAGAGATTGGGCAAAGACTCAGAAGATAGATATTATAGGAGGACCTGTCTACAATCAAAAAAAGGATCACTAACAGACACTAGAAATGAGGAGAAATAACCACAGAATGAATAGAAATGGCCAAGACTTTATTTTAGACTTTTAGCCTCCAGAAGTGTGAGAAAATAAATTTCTGTTCTTTAAATCCACCTACTTGTGGAATTTCTGTTATGGCAGCACTGTTGTTGTTTGTTACATGCTGTCTAGTAGGACCCAACTCATAGCGACCCCTCCTTGGGTTTCCGTGGCAGTATCACTATGTAAGTAAATTGCCCAACCTTCCTTCTGAGGAGTGGCTGCTGGGTTTGAACCTCCAGGCTTCTGGTTAGCAGTCAAATGCCTTAGGCACAGCTTCCAATGCCTCTTGTACTCAGTCCCAAACTTTTCTGCCTTCATTCATCCTGTCAACATGTACACTTAATATTCCAGTCAAAAATGAACTGATTTTGGCTCCATACTTAATTGCTTCTGGTGTGACAACAAGTGAATTCTATGCATACTTCAAATATAAGCCAAGAATGTTACTTGCTCCAAGATGTCTTCTCTACCCCAGTGTCTGGATTAGAACTCTTAATCTATGGAGGTAAGAAGTCTATATTGAAAAAAACAAAAAAGGCATTGTCATCAAGTTGACTCAATTAATAGCAGCCCTGGAGGACAGACTAGAATTGCCCCATAGAGTTTCCAAGGCTGTAATCTTTATGGAAGTAGACTGCCACATTTTTATCCCACAGAGTGGCTGGTGGGTTCAAACCACTGACTTTTGGTTAGTAGCTGAGTGCTTAACCACTGTGCCACCAGGGCTTCAACTACCTATTGCATCTATTATTTTAGTTGTTTACTTATCCTTTTATTCCCATGGATGATATGTCCATGAGGAAGATAACAGCACGTGCCTTGTTAATTTTATATCCTTAGCACATAATAGGCACTCAATAAATACTATATCCATGAGGAAAATTTATTGTAGTTATATATGTCCATATCATCTCTTCTCTACTGTACCATAAGCTACTTAAGTTCTTTGTCTAGTTTCTTCATGTCTGGCTTATTTGTCCCACAATGCCAAGTTCAATATTTTCTAAGAAGAAAGCATCAAATATAATTAGTAACAAGAAATACAAAAGCTGTGTATTTATGCAATGTTTGCAACATGCTAGGCAACTATGTTGTGTACCCTCCAAGCATTATTTCACTTGATTGCTCTAACAACCCTATGACATAATGCTATTGTATCTTTTTCTTTTACAAAAGGGGAAACTGAAGCTTAAAGAGTTTAATTTTCATGAAATTATTCCTGATAAATGGAAGAGTGGGAATTGAAATATAGATTCTTTAATAATACTAACTTTAATCCATATAGGTTATATTCCTATATATTCAATGAAAGAATAAATATACCAGCATGCATAAGGCCCACTTAAGGTGATACCTGACTTTATAATTCTTAAATTTGTGCTCCATAAAGTTCTTGGAATACTTGACTTGGTTACCTTGCAGTCCTCTTTCCAAAACGAGACTGGAAGATATTCAACTGGCAGATGAGTCTTGACTATCCTAGGGGATGCCATGTTTTTTAATTGTCTTACTCCTGATTTAAAGATAGAAAACAAATGTTAGAAAACTTTAAACATTTATGTGGATATACATATGTTGTTGTTAGGTACCATCAAGTCAATACCAACTTATAGCAAACCTATGTACAACAGAACAAAAGACTGCCCAATCCTGTATCATCCTCAAAATCATTGCTGTGCTTGAGTCCGTCTTTGCAGCCACTGTGCCAATCCATCTCCTGGATGATCTGCCCCTTTTTCACTGACTTTCTGTTTACTTAGCATGATATTTTCTACAGGAACTGGTCTCTTCTGATAACATGACCAAGGTACAAGAGACAAATCTGGTCATTCTCATTTCTAAGGAGCATTCTGGCTGTATGTGTTCCAAGACAAATTTTTTCATTCTTCTGGCAGTCCATGGTATGGTCAATATTCTTCAGCAACACCACAATTCAATAGCAAAAATTATTCTGTGGTCTTACTTCCTCATTGTCAGCTTTCATGCACATGCACGTGCACATGAAGCTATTGAAAATTCTATGGCTTAGGACAGGTACACCTTAATCTACAAAGTAACATCTTTTCCCTTCAACACTTTATTTATTTATTTATTTATTATTGTGCTTTTGGTTCAAGTTTACAGAGCAGAGTTTGTTTTACATTCAACATTATATGTACATTTAGTTTCACTCCCCATTTACCATGCCCAACCCTGATCCAATCTTCTTCTCTCCCTGACCAGTAACTCTCCTCCCGTGTCCCTCACAGTTATGCACTCCTGTGTGTCCTGCATTTCCTCTTGCGAATGTTGCCCCTCTGTTACCCTGTGGTCAATTGCTTCAAGGGAAGCATTTCCACAGTGTATGTGGGTGCTTCACCCTGGATTGAATGGTCTGCATGTACATCTTGTTTACTGTTGGGTTGAGAGCCAGCCCCTGGGAGAGAGTTTTATTGGAGGGTCTCACCAGACTCTACCCGATGAGTAATTCTGGTCATTATTGAGTTATTTGTTGTTGTTATTGTTGTTCCATGTTTTTCATCCTACTTTATTTAGGATCTCTAGTTTTGCTCCTTTCCTGAGTGGTTGTCATTGGTAGCCGGGCACCATATAGTTCTTCTGGTCCCAACGGCTATCTTATCCTAGGGCTGATTGCTTACAAATGTCCTTGGTTTTTTTTTTTTTTTTGCTCTTTTCTTCGGTTCTAATGATAGGAGACCATTAGATGCATCTTAGATGGCCGCTTGAAAGCTTTTAAGACCCTAGTCAATATTCACCAAGGTAGGATGAGGAACAAGGTTTTTATGTATGTTGTGGTACCATTTGAGTCTGGTGTCCCTATACTGTGGCCCTGAGAGGGTAGATCCATTGGATCTCTATCCCACAGTATCTGGTTGTCTGTGAGGGATTAGTCTGTGTCTGTCTTCTATTGTTCCTGTAAGGACTGCAAGTATTTTGTATCACTGGTATCTGTGCAAGGTTAGCCTCAGCTGAATCTATCCTTGGTCTAGAGTATAATCCCCCATCTAATCACTGAGCCCCATCTAATCCTCTCAAGTGTTTATGTGTTTATCTGTAGTCTGTGTTTGGTGTTAATGGTAACACAGTATTGTGGATGCTCTGATTGGTATTAGCTTCTGTTGTCTATCTCCTATGTGCACAATCCGGTGTCCTCCCTTTTCCTAAAGTTATCATGGTGGTCACAGATTCTTTCCATACATCCCTCCTCTTATCCACGTCAGTGTGTGGGCCCCAATTAAACCCAAAATTAATCCCTCCCTTTCCCTCCCCAGCCCTGTAACCTACAACGTGAGTTCCCTTTCCCAAGCAAACCCTTCTTTGTCTTTTTATAGTAATGGGCTCATACAGTATTTGTCCTTCTTCGATTGACTTATTTCACTCAGCATAACGTCCTCCAGGCTCATCCATGTTGTGAGATGATTTTCATATCCCTCATTTTTCTTTTGTAGCAGATTTGCTCAATGCAATATATCCTTTGATTTCTTGACTAATCTTTCATAGGCATTGATTGTGGATCCAAGTAAAATGAAATCCTTGATAACTTCAATCTTTTCTCCATTTATCATGATGTCGCTTATTGGTCCACTTTTGAGGACTTTTATTTTCTTCATTTTGAGGTGTAATCCATACTGAAGGCTGTAGTCTTTGATCTTCATCAGTACAAGCTTCAACTCTTCTTCACTTTCAGCAAACAAGGTTGTGTCATCTGTCTACTTCTACACAGGCTCTTAATCAGTCTTCCTTTAAACCTGTTACTTCATTCTTGTTCAGAGTCCAGCTTCCCAGATTATATTTTCAGCATACAGATTGAATTAGTGTGGTGAAAGGATACAACCCTGAAAAATAACTCTCCTGATTTTAAACCATACAGTATCCCCTTGTTCTATTAGAGCAACTGCCTCTTGGTCTCTGTGTAGGTTCCTTGTGAGTACAATAAATTTTTCAGGAATTCAAATCCTTTGAAATATATCCACAATATGTTGTGATCCACACAGCTAAAAGCTTTTGCAATGTCAATAAAAAACAAATGTTGAATTTCTGGCAATTTCCTGTCGATGTACTGTTGTAACCATTTTAAAAATATTTTTGAGCAAAATTTTAATTGTATGTAATATGAATGATATTGCTCAATAATTTCTGTGGTTTATTTGATCACCTTTCTTTAGAATGAGAACAAATGTGGATCTCTTTCAGTTGATTGTCCAGACAGCAGCCTTCCAATTTTTTTTTTTGACAGAAAATAGTGAGTGCTTACAGAGCTGCATCCCTTTGTTGAAACACCTCAATGTGTTTCCCTCAATTTCTGTGTTGTTGTTGTTGTTATGTGCTGTCGAGTCGGACCCGACTCATAGCTACCCCTCCTTGGGTTTCCGAGGCAGTATCACCACGGAAGTAGATTTCCCCATCTTCCTTCCAAGGAGTAGCTAGTGGATTTGAACCACCAGCCTTCTGGTTAGCAGTCAAGTGCCTTAGCCACTATGCTACCAGAGCTCCCTCAATTTCTGTAGCCTTGTTTTTTGTCACTTCCTTCAGTGAAGCTTGGGTTTCTTCCTTTAATACTATCAGTTCTTGATCACATGCTACGTCCTGTAATAGTTCAGTGCTGAGCAATTCTTTTTGGTACAGTGACTCTGTACAATATCATGAAGCACAGATCATCCTACATTTTTACATTATTTCATACTATTATTATACCATATTTTATTATTCATACATTTATTAACATTGAGGTGGTTTAAAATTTTTTCACAATATTAAAATAATCTGTGATGAATATCCTTTTTCATAGACCACTGGAAACTTATAGCCATTATCCAAATGTTCAAAATATTTTGAAATTCCTCCAAATAAATGCTGACATATTAGTTGGCTCAGTGAAGACATATCACAATTGTGTTTTTAGCTCTATTTCTGAAATGTGCTGAAACACTCCCAAGACATAAACTCAAATCTCCATGCTTTCCTATGTAGAAGACATAATTCTAATTACCACCCTTGCTTATAATCTTGTTTCTTTGCACCATTTGTATTGATATTCTCAAATAGATGCATATAGCTTTTAAAATCAATTTGAACATTACCATCTAAAATATCTTCTTTCTTGCATTCCAAGAAAGGTACACGATTAAAAATCATATCTTCTTTGCACTTCTCCACATTACCATCTTTATAGATCATGTCGACAATTTCACTAATCCAGGTTGTGCCTATAAAAATTAAGCAAACTCAATATGAGTCCCTGACTGATTGTACACAGCTGATGAAGAGAGTGCCATACTTATAGATAAATTAGGAAGATAACAGTGCAATGTTATTTGAAGATACAAATGCAATGTTATTTGAAGGGTGTAAGAATAACCCAGACAGACAAAAAATATTTCTGAAAATATATCCAACCCCAAAATAGGCTTGATAAATAAGGATGAATACTATAATAAGACACATCGGGCAAAGGAGTCCAAACTTGCCCAGGAAGAATTGTGACATTATACAAGCTGATAATAGTTTTAGATTCTAATTTTTACATGTACAATGTAAAGAGGCTTGAATAATAATTGTACTCAAGCATGCCATTAGTCACAAATTTTACTGTGTCTATTCTGTCTCAAATTGGGTCTTACTTCAGAGGATATAGAAAATAATGTATCTACTCTGTACTGTAAGATGGCCAAAGGTCCTTTGAAGAGTCAGAAAATGTTCAAAAATCACAATACTTTCTTCTCAACATGCTGTTCATGTCAGCTGACACAAAAGTTTAAAGACTTGCAAAGGAGAGACAGTTATCTCAGTCTGTTAGTTTTGCAACTGCTGGGACTTTGGGACAAGAAATGCCTTCAAGAATAAATGATAATTGAACTGAATCTTAAATAGTAAAATAAATGCACTAGTTGTGGGAGACATGAAAGGTTTCTACCAGGCAGAGGAACTGTCTTTTGTTTTTTTAAAAATCAAATGCCAGGTACTTAAGAATAGTGTACCCATTGCCATGAAGTTGATTCCAACTCATGGTGACCCTATGCATTACAGAACAGAACTGCTCTATATGGTTTTTCTGGCTATAATATTTTACAGAAGCAGATCACCAAGGCATTCAATCACAGAACCACTGGCTGGATTAACATGTCCCACCTTTTGGTTAGGAGCTAAGTGCAAATCATTTGATCCATACCAGGACCATCATAAAAATAGTGTTCTACAAAAAAAAAAAAAAAAAATCCATTGCCAATTGAGTTGATTCCATCTCATGGTGACCCTATAGGACAGAGAAAAATTGCCCCATAGGGTTTACAAGGCAGCAAATCTTATGAAAGCAGGATGCCTCATCTTTCTCCCATGAAGGGACTATTGAGTTCAAACTACTATTTGTTTAGCAACCAAATGCTTTAACCACTGTGCCACAAAGTTCCTTAAGAGTGGTGTCAAAAAAGTCCTCAAACTCTTTGCGATGGAGTTGGTTCCAACCCATAGTGACCCCCATTTGATTTATGAGGCTGTAAATCTTTATGAAAGTAGATCTCCCTCTCTTCCTTCAGCAAAGCAGATGGTGGGTTAGAACTGCTGACTTTCTGGTTAGCAGCCAAATACCTTATCCACTACGCCACCAGAGCTCCTTTAAGAATGATGCAGTGGTAAGGGAAAGAACTGGAAATGGATGATAAGGCTTAAAATAATGAGTTTACCCAAACAGACAAGTGTGGATGAAACTAGAAAGGCAATGAGGTGCCACACACAAAATGCCATAAATTGCCAAGAAAAAACTACTCTGTAGTTCATGCTAAAAGAGCCCTGGTTGCTCAATGGTTACGCACTAGGCTGATAACTAAAAGGTAAGCAGTTCCAACCCACCAGCCACTCTGCAGAAGAAAAATACCTGGCAATCTCCTCCAGTAAAGCTACAGTAAAGCCTAGGAAACCTTATGGGGCAGTTCTATTCTATCTTATAGGGTCACAACAATAACAACAACAGTTCATCCTAAGGCATTTGAGTTTGTTTTCTAACAGTTATGGAATGGTATTGATATATGTTAAAAATAGAGCAAGGTTATCAGAACTGTGTTTTAGACAAATTTCTTTTAGTGGTAAGAGGTCATTGAAAGAGCCAAATAATAATAATAATAATAATAATAATACATGTTGTAAGAGGCTAATTGTGAGGCCAGAGGGACAAAATATTTTGTGTGATTGATTAGGGGTGATGTAGAAGCAAGAGAAACTGAATGTAGAATTGCTCTCAGGTTTCCTCTTTGGATGACCAGTTTTTGGGCTGAATTGTGTAACACCAAAAAAATATGATGAGGTCCTAATCACTGGTGCTGTGAATGTGACCTTGTTTGGAAAGAGTTTATGAAGATGTTATCAGTTAAGTTAACATGAAGTCATACTGGAGTAGGGTGAGTCTTAGTCCAATCTGAATAGTGTCTATGCTTCTTTCTATCTCTATATCAAAATTACTCTGTCTTTATTTAATTTGGGGAATTAGTTGGAAAATAAATGTGGAAGAAATGAACTCCTTATTATTAACCATTCAAGGTGGGTTGATTATTTTTTGTTGAAAAAGAAACACTAGAATATCAGGGATACTTACCAGATTTGGGATAGGTGACAATAACAATATCATCTGCCCTTGCCTGGAATGCCTCTATATTATCCCAATTTTCAGCAAAAGTTTTATATATTAAAAGTCCATTGATACAGCAAACTTCATTAATGTTTTCAGTTTTGGAAGAATCCATCATAGAGTGGGAACTGAAAGAAAAAAAGTTAATTTTCTGATTTTATATGTATTTTAAACTATTTTAACATCTATAATTATTGTATATATTGAGGTCTTTATACATATCCAGCACATCCTAACTGCTGAGTATATGGAATAAAGGCTTAATAAAAAAGTTTATAGCTTGGTCTTTGTTTCTGAAAAGTGATTAATCCTATTAGGAAGATAAATCTAATCTGTAAAAAAATAAGGAGGAGGTATTATAAAGTAAAATACTTAAAAAGAAAAAAAAAATGTGCGATATGGTGAATAACAAAAACAAAAACAAATTCTCATTGCCGTCTGACTCATAGCAAGCCCTCCTTGGATTTCTAAGGTGGTATCACTACAGAAGTAGATTACCCAACCTTCTTCCAAGGAGTGGTTGGTGGGTTTGAACCGTCAGGCTTCTGGATAGCAGTCAAATGCCTCAGGCACTATGAGTCTTTAATTTCTCTATTAAAATTAATAATTGATAAAACCCAAGAAAAAACTAATTCCAACAAGTTGGTTCTAACTCACAGTTTCTGTACAGGACAGACTAGAACTGCTCCAAAAGGTTTCCAAGGTTTTAAATCTTTATGGAAGCAGACTGGTCATCTTTCTGCCATGGAGCTGCTGGAGGGTTTGTATAGCTGACCTTTTGGTTAGCAGCCCAATGCTTTAACCACTGCCCTGCCAGAGCTTCTATAAAATCAGTAAGACATATAAAAAAGAGATGTTCATAAATATAAAACTATTTTCACAGAGTTCAATTATGTAAGCTTTAAATAACAATAATTATTGATCATATTTGACAGAGATGCCAGATCTTTGAGTCAAGGTTGTTCTCAGTCCCTAAAAGTGTTCCATTTGATGAAAAGAATTCAAATGCTTGGTGAAAGTATTTTTAGATGAAATTAGTGACACTGTCATGGGTGTATCTAGGAAACAGATTCTTGAGAATATAGAGAATTCAAACTGTGATTTCTACCATTACATTTGTCTCTCACTTGACCAATAAATCAGTGGACATTCCCACTGAGTAGCATGCCTGAAAATTACAAGGTCTAACAAGATTATAATTTGATTACTCATCTCCTGATCTTAGAGCAACTCATTTAATATTCAAGTAGGAGGAACTGGGAAGAAGGCATTGAAGGAAGTGAAGCCAGTGAAGGAAAGTACTTCATTAAGACCAGTCCATCACAGAGGCTTTAATGAAGCAAAATTTTTTCACTTCTTTCAGTCCCTTCTTTTCAATTGCTCCTACTTGCCTCATCTGGAGTTTTAATATAACATCTAAACAAATCTTGCCCTTCCTTGACATTACTCTATTATATCTTCCCTTCCTTGTTATTATTGTTGTTAGTAAGTGTCACCAAGTCAGTTCTGATTCACAGTGACACAATGTACAACAGAAGGAAACAGACCGGTCCTGTGCCATCCTTACAATCATTGCTATGTTTGAGCCCATTGTTGAAGCCACTGGGTCAATCCATCCCATTGAGAAGCATCCCCTTTTTCACTGATTGTCTGTCTACTTTACAAAACATGATACTCTTCTCTAGGGACTCCTCCTTCCTGATTTGGACATAAGTGTCCAAAGTATGTGAGATGAGGTCTCACCATCCTCACTCCTCAGAAACATGTTGGCTCTACTTCTTCTAAGACAGATTTGTTCAGTCTTCTGGAAAACCATGACTTCGGTAAGGTGCACATTAGTCCTCAACATGACATCTTTGCTTTTTAACACTTTAAATAGCACTTTTGTTGCAGATACTCCCAGGGCAAAACATCATTTGATTTCTTGACTGCTGCTTCCATGGGCATTGATGGTGGATTCAAGTAAAATGAAATCTTTGTCAACTTCAATAGTTCCTCTGTCCATCAGGATACTGCTCATTGGTTCAGTGTGAGGATTTTAATTCTCTTCATGCTAAAGTGTAATCCATACTGAAGACTATAGTCTTTGGGTTTCATTAATAATTACTTCATGTCCTTTGTCAATAAGCAATATAATGATTAATGGAGAAAAGATTGAAGGTGTCAGGGATTTCATTCTACTTTTATCTACTATCAACACCCATGAAAGCGGGAGTCAAGAAATCAGCCCCCATATTGCACTGGGTAAATCTGCTGCAAAACACCTCTACAAAGTGTTAAGGAACAAAGATGTGACTTTGAAGTCTAAGGTGTACTTAACTCAAGTCATTGTATTTTCAGTTGCCTCATATGCGTATGAAAGCTGGACAGTAAATAAGGAAGACAGAAAAATTGATGCCTTTGAATCAGTGTTGGCAAATATGGTAGTTAAGGTTGTGTGTTAACTTAGCTAGACCTGTTTTTGAGTAGCTGGGCAGCTGTAGGTAGTTATTCCCCATGATGATACTGGCAATCAATTCCATGGTGGAATCTGCCTTGGGTACCTGAGTAGCAGCTTTAGGGATGTGGGCTGATTCCCATATATAAGGAGAAGCTTTGGGAATTCTCCACAGCTTATGGCACACTTGGACCCTGCATATGTCCTAGTCATTGTTCAGCAGCCTGTCATGTTGTCTGCTGATCTTGGGACTCTTAATGGACTTGAATCAATGCCTTATTGTGTGATTTGGTAATATCAGGACTGTACCTAGTTACCTGTTGACCTTGCATTTGTCAGCCTCAGCAGCCAGCAGCTGCCTGAGTGAAGAAAAGCTTCCAGCTTCAGTGGGCTAGGAGCAAGGGACAGAGCTAAAACACAAGGTAGAGGGGCTTTCACCCAGCCCCAGAGTTTGGCACTTTGAACTTGGACTTCTAGCCTCCCAGAGAGTAAGAAAATAAACTTGTGTTTGTTAAAGCCATCCCATTTGTGATATATTCCTGTTAGAGCAGCACAAAGTAACCAAAACAGCAAAGAACACTGAAAATACCATGGACTGCAGAAGAATGAACAAATCTATCCTGGAAGAAGTGTAGCAGGAATGCTCCGTAGAAACAAGAAAGGCCAGACTTCATCTTGCCTACGTTGGTCTTATTATCAGAAAGGACCAGTCCCTGGAAAAGGATATCATGCCTGTTAAGGTCAGTGAAAAAAGGGAAGACCCTCTATGAGATGGACTGACACAGTGGGTGCTATGATTGTCTTTAGCATAGCAAGGGTTGTGAGGCTGGCACAGGATCAAGCAGTGTTTTCATTCTGTTGTACATAGGGTTGCTATGAGTTGGAGCTGACCTCATAGTATCTAACAACAACAGTAACAATTTACTATTTATTTATGTATTGATAATATCAATAGACTTTCTGTCTTTTAACTTTTTCAATAATGTATAGAATTTTAGTGTTTATACAATAAAACAGGTCAAATTGTTCTATGTTTAATATTGTTACTTAAATATTTAAGTATGACGATATAGCAAGAAACACATATATTTGAAAAGTGTTACTTTCATATTAATTCAAATGATTAATGTGCACAGAACAGAGAATACAGGATAATTATTTAAAGCTTGTGCTCTAGAATAGACTTCCTGGGTTTAAACTCTAGCTCTGGTGTTTGATGCTCTGTGACCTTGGCAAATTACTTTACTTCTACTTTTTGATATCTGTAAATTATGATGATAATGAAAATAATTCTTTGCCTGAAACAGTTTTTAAGAATTCACTGAGAGAACAAACCTGGGAAAAATATAAATGCTTAAAAAATGTGGGCTTATATTATTATACCAATTCCACATAACAGTATAACAATGCAGTAGATACCGTTAATAACTGTACATATTATATAGTAACATTTCTGTTCAAACTAGGAAAAATATATGTTGTCAAAAATTTCCAAAAGTTTATTTCATAAACAGAAAATTATCTGGAAAACACCCAGTCAATAATCTCATTTACTTTGTAACTGGTGAGCACAAAATATGGAAATATCTAATGTGAATATGACTTTTGCTCTTTCTCCCTCTCTCTCTCTTTTTTTTTTTTTCTGTTTGTTTTGCCTCTGATGTTCTCCGAGACAAGCCAATATGACATTCATTATATTTTGATCCCAGATTGTGTGACAGAGGAGAGGCATGATGAAAGACTTTTTCAATTGTTTATTTGTTTTTAACAAAAGAATGTCTCAACATGTGTTTTGAAAACCACAAACAGCACTAGTCATGGATGTTTTTACCAGGGATGTTAAGTGGAAAAAAAAAAAAATCCCAGTCTGTTAGGTACTTTCAACTATTTCAAAAATCTTCCTCTCAAGTGTATCAGATATGATCTCACCAAAGAGGTAAGATTCTAATTCCCACTCTAGAAATCAGTCTTGTTAATAGATCAGCTTGGTCCACAAACTGTCTCCTGGATCTCACAAATTGGAAGTCTCAAGAGCAGAAATATGCCCTGTCTATTAAAGAATGTGAAAACTACTTTCTTGGTATATAGCCAAGTTTGTAAAAGTTGACCAGTAGTTGACAGGGAGTAGCTGATTTATTATTAAAAGATTGGCTGAATTATCATTCCCCCTTTATAGTTAATGTTCGGTCTGGAAGGAAATCTAGATAACATAATAAAAGCTCTTCTTATTTTTTAGTAAAGTATCTTGAATCAAGATATCTTGGTTCAAGTATCTTGAATCTTCTTTCTTCTTTCTCAAAAGATATATTTCAGTATGACAAAAAGTGTCAATTTCATTTCCTAAGTATATAAGTCATTATTGTCCAGAGGCACTAACCAAAAGTTGTTAAAACTGTGATTTATTCATTTAATTAAATTCAGAAAACACTTTCCTACTTTTTTCTTCCTCTCTCCTCTCCTCCCTTTCTTCATCCTCCCACTCCACCATCTCCCAAGCTGCTTTTCATCCAACACAGACTCGCTAAAAGAACTTGTTCCTAGGCTGTGATAAGTGCTGAGAAATCATGTGGACATAGATGCCTAGGGCTTACATTCTCTTTGCCCTCTTAGACTTAACATGTCTATTTAAAAGTGCTGCTATTTTGGTGTTTTTTGATCAGGCACAGAAACTTCAGAAAATG